AAGGGTAGGAACAACTTTGCGGGTCAAAATTTGCCGGGATTCCCTTGGCACCCTGGAAAAGCCTGCAAATACCACACAAGACGGGAAAGGGTAGGAACAACTTTGCCGGTCAAAATTTGCCGGGATCCCCTTGGCACTCGGGAAAAGTGATGCAAATACCACACAAAACGGGAACGGGTAGGAACAACTTTGCGGGTCAAAATTTGCCGGGACCCCCTTGGCACCCGGGAAAAGTGATGCAAATACCACACAAAACGGGAAAGGGGAGGAACAACTTTGCCGGTCAAAATTTGCCGGGATCCCCTTGGCACCCTGGAAAAGTGATGCAAATACCACACAAAACGGGAACGGGTAGGAACAACTTTGCCGGTCAAAATTTGCCGGGACCCCCTTGGCACCCTGGAAAAGTCCTGCAAATACCACACAAAACGGGAAAGGGTAGGAACAACTTTGCGGGTCAAAATTTGCCGGGATTCCCTTGGCACCATGGAAAAGTGATGCAAATACCACACAAAACGGGAAAGGGTAGGAACAACTTTGCGGGTCAAAATTTGCCGGGATTCCCTTGGCACCCTGGAAAAGTGATGCAAATACCACACAAAACGGGAAAGGGTAGGAACAACTTTGCGGGTCAAAATTAGCCGGGATCCCCTTGGCACCATGGAAAAGTGATGCAAATACCACACAAAACGGGAACGGGTAGGAACAACATTTGCCGGTCAAAATTTGCCGGGATTCCCTTGGCACCCTGGAAAAGTCCTGCAAATACCACACAAAACGGGACAGGGTAGGAACAACTTTGCGGGTCGAAATTTGCCGGGCCCGCAGTGGCACTCTGGAAAACCAAATCGGGCTGCTCGTCGTACGCGATGAGAAATGCGCGGCTCGATTTGGCCAAATTTTGCCCGGCAAGATTTGGCCAAATCGGGCCCCTGGACATTGAAATGAAATTGATTGTTTAAATTCCCCGATACTAAATCACGAGCCCGGGCCTCCCCCTCAATACTAAATTACGAGCCCGGGTCTCCCTTCTCTTCTCTTGTTCTCTTTTAAATCTCAAAATCACACCAAAGGAAGCTTCTTTTCCTTATTGAATGAAAAAGAAAAAGAAGAAAAGAGATAGGTAAAGACACTGAAGAGCTCCACTGCCTATTGTTTCATTCCTTTCCTCTCTTTCTATGTGTTGTTGTCCTTGTCGTTTCAGAAAGCTAGCAAAATAAGGGCAAGGGGGCTTTAAATTATTAAAATTATTTAATTCCACCCTGGAATTAAATAATTTAAATCATTTAAATAATTAAATAATTTTCATCCGAAAAGGGGGGGGGGCCAAAAGTGCCCGGAGGCTGCCCGGCAAAATTTGGCCAAATCGAGCCGCGATAGTTTAAATAATTTCGGGCCTCCAGAAAGGCGCGGCTCGATTTGGCCAAATTTTGCCGGGCAGCCTCCGGGCAAGATTTGGCCAAATCGAGCCGCGCATTTCTCATCGCATACGAAGGGCAGCCCGATTTGGCCAAATTTGCCCGGAGGCTGCCCGGCAAAATTTGGCCAAATCGAGCCGCGCTTTTCTGGAGGCCCGAAATTATTTAAACTATCGCGGCTCGATTTGGCCAAATTTTGCCGGGCAGTCTGCGGGCAAAATTTGGCCTAATCGGGCTGCTCGTCGTACGCGATGAGAAATGCGCGGCTCGATTTGGCCAAATTTTGCCCGGCAAAATTTGGCCAAATCGGGCCCCTGGACATTGAAATGAAATTGATTTTTTAAATTCCCCGATACTAAATCACGAGCCCGGGCCTCCCCCTCAATACTAAATTTCGAGCCCGGGTCTCCCTTCTCTTCTCTTGTTCTCTTTTAATTCTCAAATCACACCAAAGGAAGCTTCTTTTCCTTATTGTTTGAAAAAGCAAAAGAAGAAAAGAGATAGGTCAAGACCCTGAAGAGCTCCACTGCCTATTGTTTCATTCCTTTCCTCTCTTTCTATGTGTTGTTTTCCTTGTCGTTTCAGAAAGCTAGCAAAATAAGGGCAAGGGGGCTTCCTGAAGAGGAGAGAGGGCGCCTTTTTTTTTTTACTTATAGAGGGAAAAGCGAGAGACAAGGAAGGGACAGATGATAGATAAAGAAGAGTGCTATCCGTCTCCTTGTTTCTTGTGTCTTCTCTTCTTTTCAGTTCATCATATTCCTCTTTTCGGCCTGTCTCTTCTGCTCTTTTCCTTACCCTTCTCCTTTTCAAGTTCTTCCTTTTTCGTTTTTCTGTTTCGAAAAGAAAGAGGGAAGGGAGAGAGAAGGGAGAGAGGATAGATAAAGAAGAGTGCCATTTTCTTTGCGCCTTGTTTTGTCTCTCCATCTTCTTTGTTCATCTCTCTTTTCTATTCTTTTCTTGGCTCTTCCCATTAGAATTGTGTTCCGTTTATCTCTCCTCTCTCCTTCTCTTTCCCTTCTCTTCTCCTGTTCCCCTTTAAATGACAAAAACACGAGAAAGGAAGAACAAGAGAGGAATGGAGGCCCTTTTCCTGAATTCTCCTGTTGCAATGAATAAGGAAAAGAGCATAGGAGATAAGGAAGGGAATTGTGGGCGATGGAACGGGTGTCCTTTTTGATAGTTTTCTGCATCTTCAAGGAAGAAAAAAGGACACCCGCCCAAGAAGGAAAAGTAACATAAGAGATAGGGAGGAAATTGAAAAGCTCCTCTCTTTACCTAGTCATTCCCTGTCCTCTCTTCTTATTTGTTGTTTTTCTTATTCGCTTCAAAAAGCAAAATAACAAAATAAGGGAAAGGCGATTTCCTGAAGAGGAAGAAGGGCGCCTACCTGTGAATAGCAAGGTTGATTTTTTCTAATTAGGGAGAGACTTGCCCCGCCTGAGCCTCCCTGGCCTGCTTGTTGTGGCCACATTCCGGTACAGTTGCGCTTCCAGAAAAATGGCATCCTTGTTATCTCCTCTCACTTCCCTTTCCCTTCTCTCCTTCTGTTTCCTTCTGACTGATAAACCACAAGAAAGGAACTTGTATGATAAGGCAGTGGAAGGGTAAGCAGAGGGTGACTCCTGGCGCATGGACCGGTCCATACTTCGTCATACCCCTCCTCTCGGCCTATCTCTTCTGTTCCTTTCCTTACCCTTCTCCTTCTCATAGTTCTTCCTTTTTGTTCTCTTATTTCGAAAAGAAAGATGGCAGGGAGAGATAAGGAAGAGAGGATAGATAAAGAGTGAGTGCCATTTTCTCTGCGCCTTGTTTTGTCTCTCCCTCTTCTCTATTCATCTCTCTTCTATTCTTTTCTTTGCTCTTCCCATTAACAATGCAATCCTTTTGTCTCTCCTCTCTCCTTCTCTCTCCCTTCTCTTCTCCTGTTCCCCTTTAAATGACAAAAACGCAAGAAAGGAAGAACAAGAGGGGAATGGGGGCCATGTTCCTTTCTTTTCCAATGGATGGGGAAAGTGAGCGGGGTTGGCTCCTTGTCCGTAGACCCTCCCCACGCTGCAGCAAATCCCTCCTCTCGCCCTATCGCCTCTGTTCTTTTCCTTGTTCCCAAACGGAAAAAGAGAATGGGTTCCTTTACATGTTCATTGTTCTTCCTTTTGTTTTCTATTTAAAAGGGAAAGATAAGAAAGAGAGGAAAGAAGAAAACGAGCACCATCCTCTCTTTGCCTGATTTTGCACCTCCCTCTCCTGTCTTCATTTCTCTTCCATGACTTTCATTGCTCTTCCCATGAAAATTGTTTCCTTTTGATCTCTCCTCTCTCCTTTCTCTCTCCCTTCTCTTCTCTTGTTCTCTTTTGAATCTCAAATGAATTAAAAAGAAAAAGAAGAAAAGAGATAGGTAAAGACACTGAAGAGCTCCACTGCCTATTGTTTCATTCCCTTTCCTCTCTTTCTATGTGTTGTTTTCCTTGTCGTTTCAGAAAGCTAGCAAAATAAGGGCAAGGGGGCTTCCTGAAGAGGAGAGAGGGCACCTATTTTTTAATTATAGAGGGAAAAGCGAGAGACAAGGAAGGGACAGATGATAGATAAAGAAGAGTGCTATCCGTCTCCTTGTTTATTGTGTCTTCTCTTCTTTTCAGTACCCCTCCAGAAAATTCAAATGGCCTCCTTGTTGTCTCTCCTCTCTCACTTCCCTTGCCCTTCTCTCCTTCTGTTACCTTTTAACTAATATAACACAAGAAAGGAACTTGTATGATAAAGCAGTGGAAGGGTAAGCAGAGAGTGACTCCTTGCGCGTGGACCTTGCCCATACTTCATCATATCCCTCTTTTCGGCCTGTCTCTTCTGCTCTTTTCCTTACCCTTCTCCTTTCAAGTTCTTCCTTTTTCGTTTTTCTGTTTCGAAAAGAAAGAGGGAAGGGAGAGAGAAGGGAGAGAGGATAGATAAAGAAGAGTGCCATTTTCTTTGCGCCTTGTTTTGTCTCTCCATCTTCTTTGTTCATCTCTCTTTTCTATTCTTTTCTTGGCTCTTCCCATTAGAATTGTGTTCCGTTTATCTCTCCTCTCTCCTTCTCTTTCCCTTCTCTTCTCCTGTTCCCCTTTAAATGACAAAAACACAAGAAAGGAAGAACAAGAGGGGAATGGAGGCCCTTTTCCTGTATTCTCCTGTTGCAATGAATACAGAAAAGAGCATAGGAGATAAGGAAGGGAATTGAGGAGCTCCTTTCGCTACTTTCTTATGCCCTTTCCTTTGTATCTACCACACAAAAACACCACTCTCAGCTTCCAAGAATACTCTCGTGGAGACGCATTGGTTAGTCTAAAAACCCGAGTCTCAGCTTCCAAATAGACCCTATTTAAGCCACCCACCCCCCCCCCCCCCCCCCCCCCCTAATAGGACCTTAGTGCCTTTCTGGGAAGGTTCAGGTTCCCCCAGAATCCCTTCAAACCAAAAAAGGGGCATCCTTTCCCCACCCCTAAGGCCAAAACTAAGGGACCATGCGACTGCCCTAAACCTTAAACCCTAAGCCCTAAATCCTAAACCCTATACATTTCGTGGGTTTTTTTTGCGTGCCTCTGCGTGCAGGTGCAGGAGATGGTGGCATGGCGAGCTCTGAAAGGCCACGGTCATGATGCTTAATTGCTGAGTGAGTACACTTTACGCTTTTTGGGTACTATAGTCCCCTATCGAACTGAAAGTGTACACTTTTTGGGGGGCTTATGAACTCAGCAACTAAGGATGAGTTCGATTCCGACAACGGGCGCCTTGGACGCGATTTCGAGGGCTCCAGGCATCACAGGGGTAGGTTTGAACATATTTTTGTAATTCTTATTCCCTCAATCCCCTGCATAAACCCTAAACCAGGGACTTAGGGGGGTTCTAGGGTTGAAGGGTTTAGGGTTTAGGGTTTAGGGCCATAGGTAGGAGGGCCTAGCGTCGAGGGGCATTATAGCCCCCATAAAGCCACAAGCATCGCTTTTTATAGGGCCCCCAAACCTACCCCAGTTCAGGAGAATCCACTTGCTTTGCTGAGTAGGCAGCGCTCCCTCCACTTCCAAACCCTCCAACCATGTTTGGGGGTAGTCTGAGCCTCCTTAGGGCTTAACTTAGCGAAGAGTTGAACTTTAAACTTTTTAGGCTTCCTTATTTAGTTGGAAGAATAAAGTTTAACTTCTTTCCGTTGGTTATTGAAGAAGTAAGGTAAAGGTCCCCAGGTTAGCACACCTCTCCCCCCAAAAAAACAAAAGGCCTGGGTGGCCAGTGGACACGCACGCCAGACTAGGATGCCCAGCAGTGCCCGTATTCCTTTTTTTTGTGGGGGGTTGGTTCCCTAAACCCATAAACCCGTCAATGAAGGAATAGGGTTTAGTGTTGAGGGTTGCGGGTTTAGGAATATTCTTTCTACACCACATAGGAGCCCATATTCTGCTTGAAGGTATATTCTTTAATTCATAACTGAGGTGCTTTAAGGGCTCTTGGGTCATCCCAAGTGAAAGGCTCTTTCCCCCAGCCTGCTGGGGTTTAGTGTCTAGGTTGACTTGTGGGGTTGCTGAGCTGGGGCAGGGACCTGGGCGCATGTCAACCTGCTCAGGTGCTAAAGGCTACACCCCCAGAACCCTAAACCCGAAAGTTTTGATGTCAAATGGCTCAGTTGCTGAACCCTAAACCCTAAACCAGGTACGAAAGTCTTCATTTCTTCGGATGCGACTGACAATGTTCCCTGCAATGTGGCCTGAGTGTCAGCTAGCTATCAATATTATGATGATCATTGTTACAATAGTGGAACAACATTTTTTTACTATTAGTATTAGTATGCATATGCATTACACATTTTATATTCGCCCCTAGACGGCTGCAAAGGTGGTCCCTGATCAATCGCCTCTGTCAGCACAAGCTGTGGTCTTTTGAGCAGGAGGAGTACAAGGACTGGGTTTCAAACCCTCAGCCCTAAATCCTAAACCGCACCCTGAAGCCTGAAGCCCTGAGCCCTAGACCTTGAGGCCTAAGCCTTGAACGCTAAACCCTACTTGGAGGTACACGAATACTCAGAAGTTGGGGCTTTAAGTTCCCTAAATAGGGACAGATGCATAGTTACCATACTCATCACCCTACTTGCAACTGCCCATGAACCACCAAGTAGGGTGCCTAAACCCTTAGTCCTAACCACTGCCCATGAACCTCCAAGTAAGCCATGAGGCCCTGAACCCTGAAGCCCCCATAAATGGGCCTCGTGGCCGCTTCAAGGTTTAGAGGGTTTCTGTCTCGGGGGTGGTTTCTAGGGCTTCATACAGTTTGGGGGTTGCGATGTTCCCCCTTTATACAAGTCAGTCCTTAATAGGGATTACAATCGGGGGGGGGGGGGGGGGGGGGGGTACTATAATCCCGGTTAGGGGCTGTAAGGAAAAAAGGGGGACACATCCCAAGCTGAGGGTTCGATTCCTGAAGGCCTCAAACCTCCTAAACCCTAAACCCTAAACCCTAAACCCTAAACCCTAAGCCACCTCTTACCTTCACAGGAGATGTTTGAGTATCTCTACATGCCGATGCCAGGGTGGACCTTAAGCGTCCTGGCCATCATCATGCGGCTCGGCGCCCTGGTGGTCCTTCGGTGAAGGTTTTAGGGTTTAGGGTTTAGGGTTTAGGGTTTAGGGTTTAGGGTTTAGGGTTTAGGGGGAGTTCCGGTATGGCGGTGCTTTACAACCCTAGGGGGCGGTCTGAATTCTTTGGGTACTCTGGCCCTGAGATTTGAGACAAAAATCCCCCAAAAGTGAAACTCTAAACCCTCAACCGCATGTCGAGCCTCTTGCAATGGAGCTTGCCTAGGTAGCCCAGTGGCACCCTTTACCCCTTCTTGTTTTGGTTCATGGTTCCCTGATATCTAAGGTTGCCCTTTACCTTTTTGTTCTTTTTTTACCTTGTAAAGTACCCAACCCAAAAAAGGGCGCTCGTATCATAATTGGCTTACTGGGCTACCAAGTTACTAAACGCCAAAAGCAATGCCTCGTCTTGCCTCGTCATGTCATCGTTAACGTATCGGCACTTCTCTGGCCCCGAAAGAGCCCGATGCCCCTTATAGTTAAGGAAGATAGCCTCACCGTAGGTGAGGGTCCCTGCTTAATTGGGGGTAATGATTGGGTTGTTTGGGCACCTGAACGCCATATAGAAATTTCTATCAGGGCCCCCAAATCCACCCTAAACCCTAAACCCTAAACCCTAAACCCTAAACCCTAAACCCTAAACCCTAAACCCTAAACCCTAAACCCTAAACCCTAAACCCGCAGGTGGGTTCTCACCATGATGGCCGAGTATCGCCGCTGCTGCGAGCAAGGTCTGGCGCTGTGGAATCTCAAGGCCCTGAAGCGAGGCCAGAGGTTGGAGTGTAAGATAGGATTTAGGGTTTAGGGTTTAGGGCTTAGGGCCAGGGTTTAGGGTTTAGGGTTTAGGGATTAGGTTTTAGGGTTTAGGGTTTAGGGTTTAGGGTTTAGGGTGTAGGGTTTAGGGTTTAGGGTTTAGGGCTAGGATTCTAGAGGCCTTAAGAATTAGAAATAGGGTTTTGGGAGTTATTCTAGTACAATTTATAAAGGCACCATGAGGGAAGAGTATTAGCAGTTCTTCCGACCCTTTTTTCTAGTAGGCGGGACCCAGATCTTAAAAAAGGCTCAGTTAAGGGATACTCCTTGAATCATGCTGAGACTCTTTTTGTGGTTTCAAGGCAAGTCACTGCAGTTAGGTCATTTTGGGAGATTTTTTTTGGGGGGGGGGGGGCTCTTATTGGCCTCGTTTTCTCCGTTTTGTTTGAAGGCTTCCTGCTTCTCTACGCTTTGTCGTGGCGGCCTTCGGCATATTGAAGTTTGTACTGGCGAGGGCACGAGATCCCTGTGCAATTCTTTCGGGTTTGCACGAGGAAGGGAGTCGTCAGCAGCAAAACTTGGGATGTTCCCCCTTGTACGAACACCTTAATAGGGACTAGAGTATAGCTAGGGTGCCCTGTAGTGCCCTTATTCCCTTTTTGGGGGTTTTAGGTTCCCCTATAAGCCCCTTTAAGCAAAAAAGGGCACCCTTTTTCATCCTAGGCTACTGGGCAACCTAGATAGGGGGTACTAGAATCCCTACTAAGGACTGTTAGTATAAGGGGGAACATCCCGACATGGAAGCATTCTCGGACAAGGCAATGGAACCAGGGCCTTAGGCTTTAGGGTTTAGGGTTCAGGGGAACCAAGGCGGAGATCTGGCTGATAACTTCACCCGAGAAAAGAATCTAGTGCAGCGTTGCAACAGGAACCCCAACACCAGGCCGATCAATGTTGATCACCCCACCCGTAGCCCCCACAGACCAGATCCTAGTCTGACTTGTCTCACCCCTAAACCTTAACCCTGTGGAGTGGCTCGCCCTAAATCCTAAACTTTAGGGTTTAGGGTTTAGGGTTTAGGGTTTAGGGTTTAGGGTTTAGGGACCCCAAACCCTAAACCCTGAACCCTAAAAAACCCTGTGGAGGTGATCCTGCTGTCTCGACGACGGAGGATGGCGAGCAAGATGAGATTCTGGGCATCTTCCCTGGCCTTCGAACCTTGCCACAGTGGAACCCCTGAAGTAAGGAACTTACCGTATAGACTATAGTTATAGCTTCCCTATGGTATTGTTGAAGTACATTTTCTACATAGCTATCTTAAGCATGATTAAGGGTCATGGACCACCTTAGTTCACAACCACGAACTATAGTTATGTCTTGGGACGTTCCCCATTCTACTAACAGTCCTTGGCAGGGATAATCGTACCCCCTGTGATCATCCCTATCAAGGACTGTTAGTATAGGGGGAACATCCCAAGTTAGCTGTCCTATAATATTTGTTTAAAGTAATCTCCTATGTAGTTATCTTGGTCATGATTAAGGGTCATGGCCCAGGACAGACGACTGGAGGGACGGTATGATGGGGCCCCATATTACGGGTTTAGGGTTGAGGGTTTAGGGTGCTTAAGGGGGGCATTGTGCTCTTTCAAGGGAATGTCGTTGGCATAGATTCTGATTCTACTGGCCACCTGTGGAAAGATGCTGGGCAGACCATCGCATGCCCCCAGTCGAAATACCCCTCCGCAGTGCACGGTTTAGGGTTTAGGGTTTAGGGTTGTTTAGGGGGTTTAGGGTTTAGAGTTTAGAGTTTAGAGTTTAGGGTTTAGGGTTTAGGGTTTAGCGTCTAGGGTCTAGGGTTTAGCAAGCTGCAACCCCAACTCTTGAACCCCACCGGCTCTCCATCTCCCCGCAAGCTAGGCAGCATGGCCAGTCACGCGCCAGAAGCCCCTTCGGGTTTAGGGTTTAGGGTTTAGGGTTTAGGGTTTAGGGTTTTCTACCTCAAGCTAGTGCAGCCCGTGGTTTGCTTCAGACACAGTCCCTATGGGCTAAAACGCTAAACCCCTAGAGAGTCTAGGGTTCAGGACTTACCCCTGCGACCCTCTTTACCTGCAGTGTAATTGGGTTATACCTACGAATCACGGGTAGCTACTACTAAACTGTAGGTAAATAGACTCCCAGGTAGAAGGTCTATAAAGCAAGCGGTGCTCCCTAAACCCTAAGCCCTAAACCCTAAACCCTAATCGAGGAATCCTTGCCTTCGTGACCTTGATTGTACCGCGGCTCTTCGTCACAATCTGCCTTTGCATCGCCGCTTGACTTGGATGTGTTGTGCAAGCCTATACTAAACCCTAAGCCCTAAGCTCCAAGCCCTGAACCCTAAACCCTAAACCCTAAACACTAAACCCTAAACCCTAAACCCTAAACCCTAAACCCTAAACCCTAAACCCTAAACCCTAAACCCTAAACCCGAACCCACCCCCTCCCCCGCCACCCAAACAGTGCTCTCAAAAAAACAGCTGGACATTCAGATTGGGGGCCCCGGCTTCCTTCAGCTTTGAGGGTCATTTAGGGTTTAGGGTTTAGGGTTTAGGGTTTAGGGTTTAGGGCACCTTTGGGTTCAGGTTTATGGTTTAGGGTTTAGGATGCATAGGGTTTTGGGTCTTCAGTCTCCTTAGGGCTTAGGGTTTATATGGTTTAGGGTTTAGGGCTAGGGCTAGGGCTTTAGGGCGCTCTTAGGCTTCAGTCTCCTTAGGGCTGGAAAGGCTCCACACCTTCGAGGCTTCTGCTTTTTGGAGACTTTCCGCGGGGACTCCGACATGCGCCAACCCGAAGAAGTATACTAAACCGCCTCCAGCAAGCTCCCGGACTATCCGAAACCCCAAACCCCTAAACCCCAAACCCCAAACCCCAAACCCCAAACCCTAAACCCTAAACCCTAAACCCCTGCAGAAGATAGTTGGGGCCTTGAACTTTCAGGTCTCTGAGCCCCTATTCCAGGGCTAACCTTAAGCAACAGGGGTCGCAAACTAGCAGAATGATGTTTTGGGAAACCTTTGCATGATTGTCGGCCTCTAAACCGCAGGTTTAGGGTTCAGGGTTTGAGGTTTGCGTTGTGATTTGTTGGCTTGCTTATTGTGAGAACTCGGCTTTCCTCTCGAATATTCTCGACTCAGAAAACATCCTTCCCCCGTGCCGCGGAATTTGAGGCCCCGCAGCGCTTCAACATGCAAAACAGCAAGCCCAAACACCCCGAGCTCCATGACCGATAGTGGTTTCCAAAAACCCGAAACCCTAAACCCTAAACCCTAGCTAAAGAAGCTCTCAACTGTTTAAGCAGCTCCTCGGGCGCACAGCGTGAAGAGAGGCAACACTCCAAGTGATCATGCTGCAATGGCCGTTGCCACATGGTGCCAAAAAGGACTGAGGGGTTTAGGGTTTAGGGTTTAGGGTTTAGGGTGTTTTTGGTTAACCTTTAGTTCCCCTATGTTACTGGACAACCTAAACCCTAAACCCTAAACCCTAAACCCTAAACCCTAAACCCTAAACCCTAAACCCTAAACGCAAAGAGGAAGACATCGAAGACCGGCTCTTCCACCAGGGCGCCTCAGTTGATCACCTGTGCGAGCTCCAGAAGTTGCTTTGTCACAGTTGGGTAGCATTTTACATTTTTTAAGGGCACTAAGGGTACTTGCTTAAAACCAATAAGGAATAAAAACACTCAAGTAAGGAATAAAAACACTCAAGTTTTTTAATATCATCCCAACAGTGAACTATAGGTTGGAGGCAGAGGCGATCGAGAGAGCTCCTCGGGCGGACATACTGGGCGGGCAGCGTGAGCAGGTGCTCCAGAGCACAATGAACCTGGCAAACTTCTGCCAGCTGGACCAACATGGCTGGTCCTGCGCCGTGTCTCTGCTCGACTCCTACTTGGCTGCCTTGGGCAAAGACGCGTTCGACATCCAGATGCTTCCGCTGACCTGCGTCGCAGTGGTCCGATTGGTCAAGAAGTTTCACGGGAGAGCGGGTGCGGCGGACCACATTGACACTCGGGCGTGGCTCAGCATGGCCAAGCAGGTTCCGATCCAAGGCAGCTCAATGGAGTTCTCTGAGACGAGGCTCCAGCAGCATGAAACCCACATCTTGCAGACTGTGCGATTTCAGATCCCAGAGCCCCTGCAGCAGCAGTGGCTCACGATGTACTGCAAGCGCTTCAGCGCCTTGACTTCGCAGCAAGACCAGCCTGCCATCGCCTGGGTCCAGCAGAAATCCATGTTCTTTGCCCGCTTGTTGCTCTTCATTGAGGCAGCTTCCACCTACAATCCCCCTCGAGACTTCGCCCTGGGCATGTTCTGCCTTGGCCTGGCTTGGAGACGGCTGCTGTCACCCAAGTGCCTGGCGTGCCTTCGCCCGGACGACGTGCCGGTGGCCTGCTGGAGCTCAGACTTGCAGCAGCTTAGTAGTAGAGTAGGTAACCTTTAACCTTGTTTGGGGTATGATGTTCACCTTAGAATCCCAAAAGGCTAACCTTTTAAAACCCCTATAAGTACTGGACAACTAAGGCAGCTCGGCCTTCCTTGGCATGTCGAAACCGCCCCTCACTCGCTCGCGGAGGCCCCTCTCGTCGAGGCGGCCACGGCTGCCAGCAGGCGCGAACTGCAAGAGGCCACGCGCCGGGTTGTACATCGATTCTTGGTCATAGGTGGGTATCATTTTATATTTTTTAAGGGTACTTAAAACCCAATAAGGGATATAAATTCATATTGTTAATGCGATCCCAACCATGAACTAGGATTGCTGGAGTTGCGGGCCAAGCACCCAGCGATGCTAGCAGCATTGAGTGTGCATGTTTTTTAGAACAGGTGTAGACATGTATAGACTGTACCATGCGTTCTCAAAGCCTGGCTTGTTTCAAGAAGGAGCCGTGCCAAGGGGCCTGGCGGCAGAAATCCTGCACTTATGTACTTGCACTTATATGCGTTTTGAGAAGCCTCCCCCAGTGCCATTCTACCAGGTCCCTAGGGCCGGCTGCGAGTTCCGGTCGTGGTTCGGCCACAACTTTGAATTGAAGCAGCAGCAAAGTTCACCCCCCTGCGAAACCTTTTGCCCGACTTCGATATGCGTACATGCATATACGTACAAACATAGTGCATATATACAACGTAAGTATTAAAGCGTACATGACATATATATATATACTTTATTTATTTATTTATTTATTTATTTATGTATATTTATTTATTTATTAATTTTCTGTATATATTTCTTTTTTTATTTTTATAAGTCTATTTATATTTTATATTTATATGTAATTATTACTCGCATGTTAATGCAGGCTTGCAAAGATAGTTCTAAAGCGTCTGCAGAGGGTAAGCCTCCTTTTTGCTGCGCCAATGCCGTGTCTTGAAGTTGACGTACAGTCGATTCACGGTACGGCTTCGGAAAAATTATTACTCGCATGTTTATGTACGTTTTGGTACGCCTGCATACAAAGTTCGCTGATCGCAACAGACGTTTCCCTAGCCCTCGCGGAACTGGCTGCTGCTTCATGCCCTCTGGATTCTGGAGAAGCCCAATACTGCAATTCATCCCATCAGCACCCTCATATGAAACGGTGTTTTTATTACTGGTATTGGTGAGTGCATGCAGTGTTCCCTGCAAATTTGGTGAGTTCATATGATTTGGCGTCCTTTTGGGGGATACTCTTAGTAAAAGAATAGATTAAGAGGTGTTGTGGCTTTTCAGGGTCTCCACATTCGGTCGGAAACAGGGCTGAACAGTGCCCGCACTTTCCGCGAATTGTGCTGTAAGTGTAGAAGTGTTTATCTGACCCGCTAATCGGGGATCTGGCCAGTGAACGATCTGACTGCCCTCCCTGGGGACCAGATGAACGGTACAAGGATTTATGGTTCATATGCCTCGCAGAACCGGACCCTAAACGAGGATTCTGGTGCCCCAGCATAGCAAGTCCTGTCATGTCATCCATGTGTTGCTTTCACTTCGACATGCCCGCGCATGGCTGAAAAAAGGGGCGTAGGGTTTTGGGGCTTAGGTGGAAAAGCAATTGTCCAAAACTAGGTGGGTGCTTCCCAAATATAGGGGTACCCCTCCACAATTTATGCCGCATTTATGCCCCAAATAGACTAGAATCCCCTTAACCCCACCCCCCCCCCCCCCCCCCCCCCCGAAAAGGGTACCCCTCAACCCTAAACCCTAAACCCTAAACCCTAAACCCTAAACCCTAAACCCTAAACCCTAAACCCTAAACCCTAAACCCTAAACCCCCCTATTCTCGGAAATCCCCCCAAGGTCGGCTGCCAGTACTTGGCACAGACCGCATCGTTGCACGACATCGTGCTGAATGCCGTGGCGCACCTGGGCCTGGTTTAGGGTTTAGGGTTTGGGGTTTAGGGTTTAGGGTTTAGGAGTTTAGGGCTTAGGTCTTATAGGGTTTAGGGCTTTAGGGCTTTAGGGATCTTCAGGGTTCGGGGGTTCGAGGTTGTCGAGTCGTGGAGGTTAAGACAGACTTGCAATCGGGCGGCGGCCTGATATCATCAGATACATAAATATCAATAAATAAATAAATATAATTATATATATGTTATACATATGCATATGTATATACATATATATATATACATATAGTGTACATGCCTTTTCCCTTCTGCTTCGAAGCCACCGATGGCAGCTGCACTGTAGCCACCGGATCCCTGAAGCCCCAAGAAGCGTTGAGCCTCACCAGCCTGATGGCCACCTAAATGCGACCCTAGCCCCCACCACCCCCCCCCCCTCAAGCAAAAAAAAGAAAAAAGCAGTAAATATAAGTAACGAATAGTTAAACAACTGACTCCTGACGTGCTGGAAGTATACCTATCATTCTCGCCCGTGTTGAGTGGAAGAGGATTCTTGTTTCATGTCTTCGGACAAGTCGAACCACCTAGAACAAAGCTCGGGTGCTAATGATATGGGAAAGGTTAACTCGGAGGTTCATGGGCAGTCACAAGTAATGTTGTCAGTATGGTAGGGCACCGAGAATCCTAATGACGGCAACCCATGAACATCCAAGCAACTATGAAGGTTGGATGAGGTGTCCTAATCGAGGTTTGCTTGTGGAGCGCTAGTGGTTTCAAGCCCCTCCCATTTGAGCCTTGAAGATTTTCGCATTTCTGTTTTGGAGTATAGCCGGGGTGCTGAGGCTGTTGCAAGAAACGATGCTTCCAAAGATAGAATATCTCCCACAAAAAAGGCCACAGTCTAAGATTTACACCAAAAAGCAACAACAACTCCAATATCCTAGCAGGTTGGTGTAGAGAAATCCT